GACCCTTTAAATGTATCTAAATGTATCTTTTTTTTTTAGCACTGCAACAAAGCACAATTTAAATACAATCTATGATAAATATGCAGAAATACTAATACAAGCAGATACCAGTGGGCTACCTCCAGTTGAGTCAAAAGCAGCTACATGCTTTGACCTAAAATGTCTGTTTTGAGCCACTCAGAGCCTGCCAACACTGACAATAGCAACAATAACAAATTTTAGGACTTGGTGCCATTCTTGTACAACAACTGTGAACCTTTTTAACCTTTAGCCAGTGTTACATTACTGTTAAAACATTTGTAACTGTGTCTATTTTTACATATTTAAAGTGCACTCCATGATTCAGTAGCTTGTAGTATCACCTTTAGTAGGTCTGTCACATTATTCTGGAAGAATTTGGACCCACACTTTACTAAAACTTTGCTTCAGTTCATTGATGTTTGTGGGGATTAATTTATCTACTACTCTCCTAAGGTCCTGCCACAGCATTTTAGCCATACTCAGGTATGGACTTTGACTGATTTGTTCAGCCATTCTGTTGTAGATTTGCCGCTGTGCTTGGGATCATTGTCCTATCACATGACTCAGTTTGCCCCAAGCTTTAGCTGTCAGACAGATGGACTCACATTTGACTTTGGTATATAGAGGAGCTCATGGCTGAATCAGTGCCTGCAAGGTGCCCAGGTCCTGTGCCTTGATAGCTGGTATGGGGCGTTTGTGTTGATATGCTGTTTGTTTTTTGCCAAACATCTCCACGTTGGTCTGATCTGTATAAAGAACATAGTTCCACATGCCATGTTTTTTTGTTTGTTTGTTTTTTAGAGAGAAGAGGCTCCTGAAACCCTGTCCAAACAAGACATATTTGCTTATTTTTTCTAATTATACTGACATGAACTTTAACATTTAACATGCTAACTGAAGCCTATAGGGCTCACACTTGCTGATAATCAGTGAGTGTGCATTTGCATTTGACTAGCACCACCTAGCTGCGAGTTATCCTTGTAATTCAAATGGAAGCAGTAAGGCTGTATTTAGTTTTTCAGAGTCCTGTAAAAAAAATCCAGCGCTCAAGGGGTTAATAATAATGGTTTCCACTGACCATTATTACACAGTTTTGTTCTCAACAAATTACACAGTGTATGGTAGGATAGATTTTAAGACTTACCATTTCATTCATCAATATCCGGTGTGTGCGCGCTCCCTTATTTATTTAATTTATATTTTAAAGCACAAGTGTACACACAGGAGATACCGAAATGAGCCCTAGTTTGTTCTTATAATCTTATGGGAGAATGTTCTCTTTTTCTATAATAGCAGTCGTTATTTCAGCTGTTTTTCTGTGCGGTCATGTCATGTTTGTATTGGATCAGCTGTTTTTTTTCTTTCACTTTCAGCAAAACCTTTGTAAACTTTATACACTAAAAATGTGGGACACTGTGCATGTGGGAATTGTGGGATGGGATGAAAATAGTGAGATGCATGGTCACCAACCTTCACACCAGACCTCAGCCCCATCCACAGAGACGCCAACTACCACTCCCGGAGCACCGACCTCATCCTGCCAACACACAGACACACCGAGTTGCTACAGGTGGACTTCGGGTTAATAAGACAGAGCAAAGGGACACTAGTCAATCAATTACAAAGCAAGTTATAAGCCTACCTCTGTGCCTACCTTTATCCGCGCCACAAGGTCTCTGCTAACTTTTATAGCATCTTTGTATCGATCCGTCTTCTCTGCTCTCTTAACTTTAACATCGCAAGAACTGCTGGCACGGTCACTGCTGTATTTCAGCCCGACAGCTAAAGCGATCCCCACTCCAACCCCATACATCCAAATCGTGGACTTTAACCGGTATTTACGAAAGGCTGGTCCTCCCACATATCGCCTTTGTTGCTGAATAAAAATACTATCTGACTTCTGCTGCTGCCTGGCTCGCGCTCCTGCACGCGGGGTCATCACAGGCGATTCGCGCGCTGCTAGCATGCTGCATTTGGTACAAAAAGTACTTTGCCTGGACAAAAACAAACGCAACATCGTGAGAAAGTACTCCTTCTCTGTCGGCGACAAGTGGCTCCAGTCAATGATCTGCTCGCCGTTGTCAACAGCTTGTTTACTTCCTGTACGCGTCCTCGTTCGGAACGCCTCGAACAAGACCAAATAAATCAAATCATGATTCAAAGAACGTTGATCGAGGGGCAGGGTTTGTAGCTAGAGGTGAGACCAATGACTTGACTTTTATACAGTCATTGGGTGAGACCAGGGAACATAAAACCTTGTCCTTGAACAATATCAGCTTTTATTGACGTGTGTCACAACAACAATACTACAACAAATCACACACAGACAAGCACACAGCAGCAGGGATATTCATTTAGAGAAATAAATGCTAAAAACACCGTTTATTCTGTAGATTAACTTTACTAATAATGACACAAACAATCAAATAAATAAGTAAAAGTAAAAAACCTGGCTTTCAGACGAGAAAGTGCTGTACATAGGTTGTTGTAACTCTGTGCAGCAACTTGCTGGCAGCTGGACACCATTAATTTACTGGAAACAACTGTTTATAGTAACTTAAAGCTACTTAAAGTTAAAGTTACTTTAAGTTACAGTAAAGTTACTAACTTTACTGTAAACACTTTTTACATCATGCTACAACTGCATTTACAGTAAAGTCGCTGGTAGTAATTTGCTGTATTATCTACAGTAAATATGCTGTAAATTAAATGTATGATAGCTTTCTGTTATTTAATTTATAGTAATTGAATTACGGGATCTCATGTGAATTAAATTTACAGTAACAGACTTGTAGCTGGATGTCAGTGAGTTAACATAAAATTTACAGCAACTTGTTTACAGTACTCTTTACAAGGTGTGTTATTATCATGGGTAAATCCTGATCTCCCAGCAGTTAACGTGGGATTGTAGGGTATTCAGTACCCCGTTTTGATTTTGGGGATTGGGCTAACCAGCTAATGTTGGTTTGGCATAATTTGTTTAACGTAATTTGATATTTAGATGAAGTGAAGTCACCGTTCTTAATATGCATTTCATTAATATACAAATGCATTTGTTTAAAAAAACACAGACACACATGAACAGACAGTGGGGAGCATTCCCTCTGCAGTGTCTAAGAATGCCAACCCATATAACCACAATAGGCCTACATACACAAGCTAGAGACCAAACTCTAGGTTTGTGCAACCGCATTGAGAATAAACTCTGGCTCTCTTTCTCTCTCACCCACACACAGACCCTTATCTTTCCACTGCTGTAGCAGCAAAGGAATGTCAGTGGGCTTGCCAGTTATTTAACTGCTGCAAGCACAGTGTTCTGTGCAAACATAAACTAGTGACTAATATATTCATCGTACTGTACGTGCATATAGTACGTGAAAGTTAATTTTATTTTTCAACTTTAACTTCACTGATATCTATCAAGTAAAGTGAAGTACTTCGCATACTATATAGTACACTCACCAGCCACTTTGTTAGGTACTTATGTTCAGCTGCTTAACACCAAAGGTTAAGTCACATAGCAGCAATTTACTGCATTTAGACATACAGATATGATAAAAAGGCTGCCTGCTTAAGTTCATATCAAACATCAGAATGGGTAAAGTTTTACAGTGATTTAAGTGACTTTGAATGTGGCATGGTTGTTGGTGCCAGATGTGCTAGTCTGAATATTTCCCAAACTACCAAACTACTGGGGTTTTCCCACATAACTATCTCTAGGGCTTTCCGAAAATGGGCCAAAAATGAGAAAAGATCCAGTAAGCTGCAGTTCTCTGAGTGAAAATGCCTTTGTTTATGTCAGAGGTCAGAGGCCAATGGCCTGACTACTTTGAGCTGATAAGAAGGCAACAGTAATTCAAATAACTAATTGTTACAGCCAAGGTATGCAGACGAGTATCTCTGAATATACATCACGCTGAATCTCGAAGCAGATGGGCTTCAACAGCAGAAGACCAGATTGGATGCCACTTCCGTCACACAGGCTCACCAAAACTGGACAATAGAAGATTGGAAAAATATTACCTGGTCTTGATTTCTGCTGTAATAGAGCAATAACATGAAAGCATGATTCTATCCTTCCTTGTATCAGCAGTTCAGTCTTGGGTTGTTGGTGTAATGGTGTGGGGAATATTTTCTTGGCACACTATGGGCTCCTTAATATCAACTGGGCATCATTTAAATGCCGCAATATTGTTGCTGACCATGTCCCTCCATTTATGACCACAGTGTACTCATCTTCTGATGACTGATTCCAGGAGGACAAGGCTCCATGTCACAATATTCAAATCATCTCAAACTGGTTTCTTGAACATGATAATGTACTCAAATGGCATTCACAGTCACCAGATCTCAGTCCAATAGAGCACCCTTGGGATGGCAGATTCTCATAATGGATGTGCAGCCAATAAATCTGCAGCAACTGTGTGATGCTATCGGGGGATCATGGACCAAAATCTCTTAACCGACAACAAATGCTGTTTCCAGCATCTTGTTGAGTCTATGCCACAAAGAATTAAGGCAAAAGAGTATCCAACCCAGTACTAGCACAGTGTACCTATAAAGTGTCCAGTGAGTGTATATCTGATGTTTTATTGTAAAATTATTATAATTTCTTAGATCAATTATTTAGAAGATTTCAGAGGGTAAATGACTGAACTGAACAAATATTGTAGCTGTTTTGGGTGAGCTGGAGTGAACCAAAGAAACACATTACAATGCTTTTGAAAAGATGGCAGTCAAACTGAGGCCCAAGGAAAAGAAAAAAGAAGTTTTGAAAATGCTGCAAAATTAATAGATTCATTTAATTTTTAGCTATTTGAAAAATGTAATACATTTTACATATGGAAAGATAAAATAAAATCTATTAAATAAGCTTTCTCTTTTCTTTTGCACTGCAATCAAGCTTCATTCAACTACAGGTCACCTGTGATGAACAAAACAAAAAGTCTACGTATGTACCACAAACAAAGTTAGAAAACTTTCAAAACATGCTTTTATTTATATTTATATTTTTTACATTTTAGATATGATGACACTTGAGACGTGTACATTAAAACAATGCTAGAACAAAGCACTACCGGTACACCAAAAATCATACTATATAGACAAAATGAAACAATTTTGAACCTTGGTTTTAAACAACAACAAGAACAACAAAAAGGGCTGAAATCTTGTGCCGTTTCTTTAACATTACAGTAGCACCAGTATACATACTGACAGTGACTGTCAGGGTATACATACACTTGTGATGACTTTCATGTGTATATTCACTGGGGTGTAATGACTCTTCTTTAACACAGTTTGTTGTATGCGTAATGCTGAGGTTTTACTAAGTGCAAAATTTCTCCACTTTGTCCTTTGGTATGTGCATGATCAAGGCAGAATGCTACGTACCAGATCAGCTTAAAGGCAGTTGTAGAAAACAATCTTGTAACCAATGGTACTTGGTCAATGGTCATTTCACCAGATGACTTGTCAAAAAAAAAAAAAATCAAGGATTGCAAAAGGCAAAGATAAAAACTGGCTTGCGAAAACAACCGTGTTTCTCAGTTTAGGCTTCATGAGAGGGAATGGTTAAGCGTTACTTCCCCTTTGAGTTCTGCTGAAGGCAGGACGATGCAATAAGAATAGCATCTGGCTGTTTGTTCTCCACCATTGGCAAGGTACGAGAAGAAGGGGTTTACGGTAAGCAAGGTGCAAATACATAAAGCCAAAACCACAGTGTATGTGTGTGTGAGGGGCAAGGGGAGGGGTCAGACCGTGCTTTCACAAATTATTCAGTTCCATTAGAGTCTGGTCCAGCATCTGGTGCATTTCGAGGTTCTCTTCTTTAGCTTGTGATACTTTCTCTGTTAGAACAATCAAAATGAAAACATTTTAATGTCACACAAGCGCACACAAGTGAGTCAGCTGGTTAGCTTGCATTAATAATCAAGCTTGCTACATTGTTCAGGTCAGTTGGTAAATCTGAGTGCTTTTTAACCCGACCTGCACAGCACTGACAGCAAACAAGAGAAACACACGGAATAGCAAGCGGTCATGCAGATTACAAATACACTGCAACTGATACAGAACACACAGCAACAGTATACAGGTAGATTGTTATAGTGTTGGTTATAACAGTTTATTAATGCCAAACTAAAGGTTAGAAAATTATATGTAATTAAAGATAATCCCTGATTTTTACGGTTTCAAATACACTTCCACCAACAGCAACACAGACACATCGAGCAGCACAGGCATCGTACTCGGGCAATGCAAACGGAAGAGCTTTGGATCTTACGCTGGGTCCGATTGTCATACGCACACCGAAAGCAAAACCGCAGTGAACGGAACAAACGCATGAACGAGTTAGTCCTGATTCAAGGCCACGCGAAGTTCATTAGAGAGAAGGCGGTTTTTCTCAAGTCGATGGTAGAGGCAATCTTTGCAGTCAGAAAGCAAGTTGAAAAAACAGAGAGAATAGGAAATCAGAGGAAAACAGGAAAAGAGAAAGTGGAATACCCTTTGACATCTACCTTCTCTAGAAAGGAGCACCGAGAGATTGGTTTAATCTTTGTAAAAGGTCTAAATAGCCATAATAATAAATGATATTACAAAATAAAGTATTTTGATGGTTCCTGAGGCGAACCAGGGCTGTGCATAGAATAAGAAACAGAAGATAGAGCATTGTGACAAAAAAAAAAAAGACCCAAAGATCTAAATCTTAAAATGGAACCATTTAAGTTGAAAAATGAAGAAACAGAAAAATAAATCATGAATTCAATCACTACTCTGTCTTGATTATTCACTCAGTTTCCTGTAAGTATCTTTAATGTGGCTGCTAAACCTCAGCCAATCTTTAGGCCAAATTTGGTTTCATGCTCACTCCTGCTAATCTTGATCTCTCACAATTTATGGCAATGACTTTAATACAAAGACTCTGAATGTGTCATGGTGTATTTATTTAAATATATGACAAGATACCATATATCATACAAATCCTGTTTGTCATAATCACTGATGTCAGTCAGTTTCATCCAATATGTCATCGTCAAATGAGGTTCCACAACTCTTACATACTGTTCTGCACGTCAACCATTACTCTACGTTGCCACAGTCTTGCTGATAACAGCCCAACGCCAATTACCACCAGCTCGAACATCCTTCCTGCCAATTACTCCCATCACAATACTACATGTTCAAAAGTGCTTGCATGCATCAGTCAACTAGACTCAGCTTTCAGTCAAGTATCTACGGATGCTGGAGGTTTCTGTGCTTTCAGTATTGCTGTGATATTCCTATTATATCAGCTTCACAGAAAAGAAAAACTTTGGAAGAAGAAGAAAATGAACATCGACTGAAATCCATAAAACTACACCAAGGAAGAGTGAGGACCTAGTGGTTTGTTGAGATGCAAGAAAAGAAAAAAAAAGGAGAAAATGATTCAATAACATAACTTAAAATCAAGGCTTCCTGGTTTTATTAGAGCCAGTGAAAAATAAATATGAATGAAAAATAAAAAGGACAGAGAAAAGAGATACAGCTTTACATAGAAGGAAGGACGTTTATTTTTTTTTACACAACGCAGAAAGATTCTAGGATTCTGTACAAGTGATGGGATGCAAGTAATGTTGACATGAAGACATGAGGGGGAAAGGGAAGCAAAGACAGAGAGGGAAGGGGGGGAAAAATGGAGAAAAGGCTGGAGAGAGCAAACAGATGCTGCTCAGCCGGCAGGAGGCGTCTTTGATGAGGTGTAAACAATTTATCTGTGTGGAAGAGAAGAAGTAGAGTGAACCTGGGGGGAGCAGGAGGGGGACCTACGGAAATGTAAAATGCCAACCAAAATACACCAGACACACGGGAGTCACGGAAGGGCACCACAAAAACCACAATGCACAGTGTAAATGCATCCTGTACATTGAAAAACACTTGCAAACACACACACACACACACTGAAGGGTTGGGGCAAGTCCTTCCTGTGATTACATCAACACCTTCCTGCTACATCACGAGGTGCAGCGCTCAACTGACAGACAGTTGTGGCTCTCATCTTTACACACTGGGAATTTTACTTAGGAAAAACTGTGGGCTCAGCCACACTGGTGCTACGCTATGGTCTCTTCTCCTCACCTGGTATATTGACATAGCAAAGGAGGGTATCACAAACACATGTGTGGGCCTTTCTTCTCAATGGAAGTAGACCATATTAGTAGAAATGGGGACACTACATGTAACCATGAGCATCAGCATGTAAACCAGTTTCAGTGAAAAAAAAAAAAAATCATTATTGCAGTTTTTGTCGATTAACAGCTTGCATGCATTGCTTAAGAAGTGAAAATGTCCAACGATATTACAATGGGCATTTGAACATAAACTCATAAAAGAATCTAAATATTAACATGCTGCGTTCTGTTCATGCATGAAATGACTTCATTCGTTTTTTTTTCTGTACTCTCAAACGTCAAAGATGCTGACACAAAAGGCATACAGTATCATCATGAGGACACAATCAAAGACAGGATTATCTAGTACAGGAGCAGCTCAAGTACAGAGGCAACAAATTTCTGTTTTAAGACTTGAAACTTTATATATAAGACTATATATAAAAAGGGTATTTTAGTATAGATGAGATGTTTAGTTCTAGTGAGCATGTAAAATAATAAATGAGGGAGACAAAAGAGGTGAGGCATTCGATGTGCAGGTAACACAGGTGCAGGCCAGAGGCGAGAGAGGGGGCATGATGGTGGAAACAAGCAGGTACGGCAAGTAGAAAAATTACATGGAAGTCATGTCGTTGAGGGCGTGGTCCAGCTCCTCGCTGATGGCCTTGTACTTCAGTTTCTGGGCATACAACTCATCTATTGGTGGGCCAGGAGTGAAAGGTGCATGTTGGGGGTGGGGCGGGAGGTAGGGAGGTGATTGAAAGCAAAAGGCGGAGGAGGAACATGACACAAGGAGGTGGAAGGTGAAGCATCCAGACCATTTGCAGGACAGGGAAGGAAAAAACAACATGGAGAGAGGACAGAAAAACGAGGGGGGAAAAAAGGAAACAAAGTTACACCAGAAAGACAGAGTGGATGTGCAGCAGATCTAAGGTTAGATTCTTCAGCACCATTGAGAAATGGGCTGTATTTCACTGCAATGTGGTGCTTATAGGACTAAATCAACACCTAAGCCTGATATCGCTGCTTAACTTTAAAACCACCCTTTCCTACCTGGAACTGAAAAAAGCAACCAACTAAATGTAATAGTGAAAGGATAAGAAGTACCAAAATAGAAATAAGATGCTGTCTGAAAAAAAAGAGAAGATGAAGCAGGATATAGTTCAAAAAGAAATGTGAAAAAGGGACCTAGGAGATTTTTTGAAACACTTACCCAAAACACTTCCAATGATACAATAAACATTGCAAAAATAATCGTAGTAGCATTCTGGATTTGGAGGCAGAAAAGCAAGCCAACAAAAAACCCCAAAAAGCATACCTTCCAGGTCATCAATGGTCTTCTCAAGCTTGGCTACTGATCTCTCAGCGAACTCAGCACGAGTCTCAGCCTGCATTACAGAGACAGATTCAGAAGTCAGTCTAACACTTGATGTGGAAACTTGTGTAAATTATCCTGGTGTGAGCCCAAAACACCAGATGGGGCATTGTGAAACTGTACCTCCTTCAGCTTGTCAGTGAGGACCTTGATCTCCTCCTCATACTTGTCCTCCTTCTGTGAGTACTGTGGGTCAAAAACAACAACAGCTATAAGGAATCGCAAACATGTGCGTTGAGATAAATACTTTCACTGCATTTATAGAAATGAGTTTTAAAAAAAAAACAGAAGTGAAGAGGCTCTTCTGCGCCCCATCCATCAAGTCTGCAGGGGAGCTGCAAGGGTTTGACAGCATGCAGTCGCCCGGAAGGGTGGCACGTACCTTCTCAGCCTGTGCCTCCAGTGACTTCAGGTTGTTGGTCACAGTTTTCAACTCTTCCTCAAGCTCAGAGCATTTGCTGGTGTTTTAGGGGATAAAGTTGCCAAGGACGAGTAGGAAAAAGGAGGGAGACGACGATGGACAGATCCGGAGGTAGACACAAAAAAAAAGGTGGAGGGAAAAAGAAGGAAGGAGGGGGAGAGGAAACAAAATAATAAATAAAAACTACAGGGTTTTAACAAGGAGGGAACGCCAAGTACCTCAAAAGTGCCTTAACAGAGCAGGAATGTGAGAAAACACAGTAGCAGTGTGTTTTTTTATCTGTTTGGATTGAAATATCATGCTTTTCTGTGGTGTTATTCTTGCACAGCCCCTGCCATGTTAGGCATGAAACAGTCTAATTGCACTGGGAATTAAAGAGCACAATGAAGGAGAGGAGCAAGCACAGCAAGCGAAGCAGTGAGAAGAGCCACTCAGAGATACAAATGTGTTATGCTTTCTGTTTGCAGTACCTGTATGACTGTGGAGTCTAGTGATTTCATGCTTTGCTCCAAAACCCTTAGCTCATCCTCCACTCTTCGAGCACGCCTGTTAGTGGGTGTGGCGCGCATGTGCAAGCCAAAACCATTCAAACCACGAGGGGCATGCAAATAATCAGCACATACAGTAAGAACACAGGGCACACAGTTCAAATGGAAACAACTACTAGACTTTTAAGTGTTAGCGCTCGAAGCTTCCTGAGTATTTCAATTCCAGCATACGTGCAAGTTTAAGCAAAGATTTTGTGTGTGAAAAAAAAAGGCAAAAGGACTTACCCTTCTGACAGCTCAGCGCGCTCCTCTGTACGCTCCAGATCACCCTCAATGATGACCAGTTTACGGGCAACCTTTTGGTGTAGCACAACAAAGTTTTTAGAACAAAGAACCATGAAATGACTGTGAGAGAGTTAGCACTGGGTTACATCCAGCCCAGAGTGTTTCACTCGCTTACGATTATCCTCACAACTCCAATTCTGGTGAATTATAAACAAGGTTTAAAGGATACAGGACATATTAAAAACTTTCCAGTGAAAATTCAAGTGTTATAACTGGGTAAAAACAAGTTTAACAGAATGACGAGCTCGGGGTTGTTATAACTGAATTAATGTCTGTTGCAGAGCTATCAATTTCAAAGGTAAATGCTTAAAAAAAACTTGCCTCCTCATATTTGCGGTCAGCCTCCTCAGCGATGTGTTTGGCCTCTTTCAGCTGGATCTCCTGCAGCTCCATCTTCTCCTCGTCCTTCATGGCCCTGTTCTCAATGACCTTCATGCCTCTGTGTGTGGGAACAGTCAAAGAATGTTAAGAATTAAGTGGTGAGACCTGACAGACTTCCTGCAGTTTTCCCTGAGGACCCTATGTGGTTAAATAGTAGTGCTGGCAAGTAAATCTTTAATGTGCTCCTAAGGTGAATACCTAAATGTTTTCCGATATTAAAAAAGAGCAGAGGCACTTCTACAAAGGAGTGGAAACATGTTCACATGGCCTGTTTACCTCCCTGTCTGAGCCTGAGCTGCCTCACAAAACTCACCTCTCACTCTCATCAGCAGCCTTCTCAGCCTCCTCCAGCTTGGTCAGAGCAGTGGCCAGACGCTCCTGAGCGCGATCCAACTCCTCCTCAACCAGCTGGATACGTCTGTTAAGGGAAGCGACCTCTCCCTCAGCCTAAGGAAAGAAGAAACATCATGTCGGGAGATTGCTTTTGCGGGTATGCTCAAAAAAATCAGTCACATATAGCACAACAAGAAAGTCGGTCCAAAGAAAGCAACCGGTGAATGTCTTTGTTTATTAGAGTAGGTGTCGACACCATTGTTTTTATGCCCACTGAGAGAGTGTAATCGTGGTTGTTCTGAAGTGTTATCTGTGAGCCACCTGTTGGGAAAAGCCCTCCCACCAGGCCTACTCCTCATTGACTATGTATAATGATAATTTCCCCAAACTAACATAAGGCTGAATGCCGCGCCTCATTACTGAGCTCCCCTGAGAGGACATTAACAAGGCTCAAGTCAAAAGGGCCTGGCGCAATTAATGAATTCTGAAAATGACTGCTTGCATTGTACAGCTACAAAGTAGGCTCCCTGGGGTTTGAAACATTTAAGTGTAATTTATCTGGTCATCAGTGTAAGCTATGGAATCTGTGTTAAATGAGGTGGTATCTTTGCAGAAAAGCTGATATACACGAGTACACGTTGAAAAAAAAAAGGTGGGTCTTTTTATGATTATTCAAACGTGTAGCTACTTCTGCTTTCTGACACTGCTCAGCAGGGATCCAGACCTGCACTGGTGTCACTGAAAAGCGGATACATTCGGCAGAAGCCTGCACACGAGGCAAAAGTCTTTTCAGAAGCTTTCCCCTGCAGCCTTAGGTTAAAGTGTGCAGTGCTGGGATAGAGTGCACTGGATGTTTTTAAAGCATGATGAGGAAGTTTCTAATGACCTATAAACCCATTAGTGGTCACTACTATTTCTAATACATTATAGTTTGTCAACATTAATTACAAGCTGTTACACTAAGAGATTAACTCTGACTGCTGGAGCCTGTGCACTAAGATTTATTTCCCGTATAGATAACTACCGCTATGTTCTGTTGCTCGTTGCTGTGAAACTATATTGTCCTTATAAGGGCAAGTCAAAGAGCATAAGCTGACAGAGCACACTGGCACCTTCAAATGTTGCCACAGTGGTAGTTTCCTGGTTGCTGAAAATACTTTATTCAAATGTGTGGCCTGCTCCTGGTTGGGCTGGAGCAATGAATTAAAGGATCGCTATATATATATATATATATATATATATATAAACAGTCAGGTTTACCGGGAAAGGAAATGCAAGTGAACTCGTTTAAGGAGATGAGACAATACAATGACACAAAGTGCCACAGTTGCTGCTGAGCCAACAGGGCATCAGCGGCCTAACGTTGCCAATTAGAGGCGCTTATCCAGGAGCAGCGGGCTATCAAAGCTTCATCTGAGACTTGCGGTGGCACACGGAGAGCCAAGTAAAAGCTCAGCTTCCAGCACTGGGATGGGTCAAGAGCAATCCCGCTATCTCACTGTGTATCAATTCAAACTATGGCCCTACATGAACTCTACACAAGTGCACAGGAAATGATACAGAGAGAGAGAGACAAAAAGGAGGCAATTGTGCGCTCGCAGGTAGGCTCTAAGCGCGGTAAACATGCTTACTTGTTCCCTGGCTTTCCTGTGCGCAAGCAACTCCTTCTGTAATCTCTCGGCTCTGTCTTCAGCACCGTCTGCCTGCTCTTGTAAGGATTTGATCTTTCGTTTCACTGCATCCAGCGATGTCACTCCTGCCATTGTTTATGTACCGTTGTATATACTTAGATATATAATATAAAAAACAGGACTACACTTTTGCGCTGCAGCACAGTTTCCGAGAATTTCACCAGGAACGAGGTGACGTCCTTGGTTGTGCAGAGGGCTGCGTGAAGAGAGGCGAAAGAGTGCGCAAGCCTTCTGGAGACGCACTGTGCAGTGAATGTATTTACCAGGAAGTACGGTGATTTCAAAAGAAGCATGAAAAAATAACCGGTAACCTGCGGGGTTGTGCAAAACTTTAGACGGCGATAACATGCTGCACTGCCACTGTAAAATAATAAAATGTAATAAAATGTAAAAGATACAAAATACCAATGCCGTTTAATGACGTGAACACACCCAGACCCGCACACAACGGAGCGTACTCGTAGCGTACACTGTGCTACAGCCCCCTCTGCGGGTCAGCCGCGAGCAGTACATACGTGGCAGTGAAATGTTTTGGAGAGTGCAGGACATTCAATAAGTCTTCACTGGCTACAGTAATTACAGGCTGCCGTTGAAACTTTGCAAATATCACGGAACAACCAATCCTAAAATATGTAAGGGAAAAACAAGTCCATAAAACACAAGTAGTAGTTAAAGTTACTCGAACAACCCACAAACTATCTGGTAAATATCTTTTTCTTTTGGGGGGAGGGGGGGGGCACCACAATATGCTTTCTATAGGGAATGAAATGTGCAATCAAATACGAGCTGAGAAGGCTCAATTACTCTATTGACTTTTGACCCACTTTGTCCTAACCACCCACCCACCCCCTACTTTCAGATCCAATTAAAAGATTATTACAGCTTGTTTCCCCTCTGCAACCGGATTCGTCTGATTGAGTTTTATAAGCAAACGTCTCTATCTGCCTGATGTTGGTCGTCACCTCTTGTCATTCGAGGGACCCCTGTCGTAAAAACCTATCTTTATGAGGCCATTAAGATGACAAAATCTGAATTCTTTACATAATTTATTTTATTTATTTATTTTTGTCACGCATTTATTACCAAGGGGATAAAACAGTGGGGCAACAAAACAAAGTTTTCTTCTTCTTTTTTAAAGAACCGTTTATTCAATCGAAAAAAAATGCTGCAGCTTTCTTTTCCTTTCTTTTTTCCTTTTTAATTTGTGTGCTGCTCAAGACTTTTTGATAGGGAAACGCTTTTTTTCCTTTGGTCAGCAAAGAGCGCAGCACGCAGATGTGAGCTCTATCTTGACCATATAAAGCAGTGGGCTATATTTATCTAGGCGCTTGAGCTTTTTGGGAAGGCTGTGCGTTCAGTCTGCATGACTTATCGCTCTGAAAAGACCTAAAAGGCGGAGATCACGGTCCACAAACACGAGAGATTGTTACAAATTTGTACAGAAATACCGACGAGGCTCCAGGGGAGGATTAACTGAGTTTAAAAATAGATGTTTTGAAAGTGCTATATTTGAACAATTAAACCGACTTTCTTTGGACTGTGATTGTGCGTGTGACAATTCAAGAAACGACAGTTCGAACTACGGGTCTAAATGGTTGATTAAAAACAAACAAACAAACAAATAAATAAAAGTTTGTAGTGCATCCACAGATTGGAGCAGTGGTGGTGAACTGTCGCTTCCCTCAGAGGTGGCAGAATGAAGATGTGGGGTAGCGTGTAGGAATGGTGACATTGTAAATCCCTTCCTTACTTACATCGGTGGCTTTCTTCTCAGCCAGCTCAAGTTTCTCCTGGGCATCTTTAAGAGCCTCGGAGTACTTGTCCAACTCATCCTCAGTTCCCTTCAGTTTCTTCTGCAGAGCTACCAAATCGTCCTCAAGCTGAGTTTCAGTGCAGGACAGTTTCAGGGGTGATCAGCGGAGGGTCGGAGTTGCGTGAGCGCGCACAGGCGCAAAAGCGCATACACACAGAGAAGAGAGAGAGAGACAGGGGACAGCACACGGGAAAGAAAGAGACAGGAGAAAAGTTAGGGAAGCCCATGCACTTCAGGATCAGATACCTTGGTGGCGACCTCCTCAGCAGTCAGCAGCTTTTCTTCAGCTGTTTGGAACTCCTCAAGCACTTTATCTCTTTCGTCCTCAGTTATACGCAATTTCTTTTCCATCTCTCTTATATCGTCCTCTAACTTCACATGCATATGAACAAATTATACAGTTAAACAGAATATAACAGAAACATGCAGTTTTCAACGATCAAGCGACATTTCTCTTAAATTGACTTAATCAAAAATGATTTCTGGGTTATATGGTTTATGGGTTACATCAACAGTTGCTAAAACAGTGGAGAGGATGATTTGTTTTTATCATTCTTCAAAAATGACATTAAAAATGCAAAAAAATGTTTAAAGGATGGATTATTCTTAATTTTAATCCTTAACTGGGATTATCCATGAAAATAATTAATCCGTTTTAAGGAGGCGGTCCATTTAAACTGGTATTCCTGCATTTTTACTGCATCTTTCGGGTTTTCCCACAAAAGGAAGAAGGACAAAAAACAAAACAAAAAAACAGCCGACCTGTTTGCTTCTGTCCTCTGCTGCTTTCTTGTCTGACTCGGCCTGCTCAGCTCTGTCCAAGGCATTCTCCTTGTCGAGCTTGAGCATCTGCATCTTCTTCTTAATGGCATCCATGGCTGCTTAGTGTTGTTCGGCGGCACCGACAAAACGTCCAACTGAAAACCAAGGATAGAGTGGGAGAGGCGCTGGGTCGTCTGTGCCTAACTGAAGGCTAAGCTGGAGTGCAGGCTCTGCCTGACTTTGCACTGTCAAATATGTACTTTCAAGGTGGTGGTGGTGGGGGAGTGACTGGATTCCTTTGGACATCCAATACTTTTTGGGAGGAGGCGTGTGTGGGTGCTCCGGCGTTTTTTTAAGGATCTGCTTGGCTATTCGTTGCTCCCATACATTTGAGACGCCTTTATATGGGGTGTGACGAGTATGGGTATGCTCCCACGGAAAGGGTTCCTGCCATTTAATGTCAGAGAAGATGCAGAAAAAGACTGTTTACGTTTGCGTTAACGCCCCGGTCACCCATTTAAAAGCAACATGCAGCCTCTGTCTCTGAATTGAGTGGCCTGCACTTTCCCAAAGTTTCTGAAAGTTGGCATATGTTTAATTTGCAAGGAAATTATGTTTTCTGGTCTTACTTCACAGTGGCAGTGCCTTCCTGTTTTCCTGCGTCTCTTCTTGCTCTGGAAAAGCTGGGAGAGGGACCAGAGCCAGCTGCAGAACAAGCTTTTGTCACCGTGTAGTCTATGGTAGCTCTTTATCTCTGCCTGAGTGTGTTTGGGTGGCTGAGTGTAAGTTCGCTTGGGATATGCTGTAGTGGCTCTCTGTGATATGAGATGCTTTTGGTTAGCCACGCAAGCCCTAGAGGCATTGTTAACAGTCTAGGGGGCTCAACAGAGGGAAGTGTTTACCTGATAATGTATCAGATATCCCTCATGTAAACCGTTGATGTGTCATTTGTCTGGCATCACAGCATCCTGGCAGCTTTGTACTTCAATAAGAGCAGCTAAGTCACTGATTGGCTTGTGATTTGTGAAATGTTTACTGTTTTAAAAACTAATGAAGAAGAACATTTCACATCATATTGCATATTTATTACTAGCCTTACTAAATTTAAGCAATTACTATTCAATGCGATTATAACAATATGCCTAACAGAAATTATATCAAGTAATGATCCCTCTGCAGTAACTTAGTGAAAAGTCAAAGCACACTACTACGGTGACTGAGGACACTCCAAGTGTCTTTTAGTCTTCTCAAGGATATTTTTAGGATCGACTTCTCTTCCATGCACCTGCCTTAGTCTGTAATGGATCCAAGACACTGTGCCAAGAGTGGAAGGTCTAAAGGCATTAGATATGTCTCTTAAAATAATCCCTGTCTTGCTCAGGCTTTGGCCTGTTTTATAGAATATTGTTGCTATGCTTAGCAGACTGAATAAAATAAATAATTACATAATAAGGAGCAAATTATGATTTTTACAGTGCCAGAGAAAGATGAGACTTCTTATCCTATTGATTTATTTGTCTCTTTCCAATTGAGCCATTAGTGGTTGTTTTTGTTTTTAATTTACATTTGACTGTCATGAGCCCTAAAAGAAAATGCATTTTGCTAATCTGGGGACAGCCTTTGTTTTCTAATTATTAATGGCAGTGAAAGACACTGTTTACAGAGTTTGTGTCTAACTGCTCTTCTCTCACACTAAAATCAAAGCTCTGGAAAAGCTTTTCTCTATAAATAAGGACGTCTGGAAGGTTGCTGCAGAGGTCTTTCTTGAGTCTTGCATGACTGACTTAGTAAATTAAGCCACTTCATTTATTTAATGCTTTGAGTGTTCAGTCCTTTCTTTGTTTGTTTGTTGCCATATTGTGCACAGTATTGTGAATGTTTCTGGTTACACTACCTATGCACAGTTTGCCATTTATGTTTTCAGTAATGTATAATTTATAGTGCACTGCTCGTTGTTCTTGATTTGGAATTCCATATTCATTATCTTGAACAGGATTTCCAGTTAAATGGCATGCTAGAGTTCCTGTAGCACCCCTGGAATGAAAATAAGCTCCTTTTATCATGTTTTACTGTAAATCGTTGGCACATTACGAATGTCTCAGGGCCTAATATGTTTATTTTGAATGAAATCCAGATATTAGTGAAAACCTGCCGAGCTCCAAGTTGCATTCCACTGGAAAATTAAAGGTGCTCTCACACAAGAGCCGAGCTGAAGGTAACACTTAAGTTTTCTTTCATTTTTACAAATGAGAAGGCAATAACAAACTCTTTCAGTATTTGAGGCTTAAGGCATTTAAGAAAGCCACCACATGGAAAAAGTGTTTTTTTTTTCAAGGCTGCAGAATGAAAAAAGAAAAGAAAAAGAAAAGATCTAGACATGTAATTTTGAGCTCTTTGAAAGAAAAGAAAAAACTCGGTCTCCGAAGCCCATTAAAGCTGCCAACCTAGTCTAAGCCTACGTCCTACAATATGCAGCATTGAAGCTGGGATTTAAAGATAAATGCTTTTTTGGGACTTACTTGTTGGAACATTATAAATAACTTCACTCTTATTATGCAGTCTTCTCCCACAAAGCTTTGCCGCATCAGTAAAGAATTTACTGTGTTGAAAATAGTAAACACTCATTTAAAGGCCATGAATATTCTTAACAATTATCCTTAGAGGTGGAAACAACTGAGGGGAACACAGTCAAGGAAGAATTCCGTCCTACTGTGGGTTGAAAACACAGACTTGCAATCAGACAACTGTTGCCTATTTTCTGGACAGGTCTGGGATACTCTGTCATGTTGGAATTCTGATTGTCTCCCCGTATCACGATTTGGTCTGCAGGAGGGGACAGCTGAGTGAGACAGGTGGGGCTATCGTCATATTCAAATTCAAATCAGTGAAAGCTTTTGTAGCTCACATGTTTATAAATAAGGGTTTAAAAAAGGATGCCATACATAATCGAATTAGCGCATGTTAAACACATAAATATAGACGCAAAAAGGTCAAAAGCTGGTAGAAAGAAAGTCTTTCAATTACGGACCGTTTGTGATCCCCCCGAATTTAAATGACACAAAGCAGCCATTTGGAGCTGCTTTATAATATTGTAACACTGTAATAGTTAATCTGTTAGTCCTACAATGACAGACCACTCTGTATGTGGAATGTCCGGTTCTCCTCAGCTGACGCTCTGGGAGTAGCCGAGCTTTACTTGGCCGCTGTGCCTGAACCCATGTTTGCATAAGAGGACACTTGGGAGAGATATTTAGGGTCTAGTCGTGGCTTAAATGTTACTACATTAGAGAAAGGATCCATTTGCTTCTGTTCTGTTTATTGTGTTGTGTGCATTTACAAAGGTTATCGGATGCAAAGACTGGAAGTTCTTCCAGGAAAACACTTAAAAACTTTCCTGAGGTTTTGCCATATGCGTTGAAACCACAAGCCAACTTGTGAGTGATTATTTTCTAATGATGCACGGTATTACTGATTGCACCGATACACAGCAGTGAACGTTTCAAGGGCGGTTCTCCTCCATGTTGAGTGCATGGCTGCTGAGTGAAGTACAGTGATTGCAGACCCCTCGTCAAATACCATCTTAAGGTTTCTGCAGACATCATCCAGATATATATAGAGAGCAAACTTCTTGGCCCTTTGGGATGGTACCCCCGTGATTAGATAGCTCCATGCAGGGGCATTTAGCATAGCAAAAACTGAGATGGGGTTCTGGGAGGGTGCAACTTAAGATGTAACCCAAGCCCAGCCCATGCCCTACTGACGATGGGTTTATCCACAGTAATGTTCCACTGACATATACTGGTAGTCGTAAGACTTGAACTGGTTTATTATTGAGCACAGGTGGACATCTAACCATGCGGACATCCAACCATGGCACAGAGACAGCTACAGTATTTAACTTGATGGATAGTTGCAATGAGGCTGTGACACTTTGATTCGCTCCTTTTTGTGTGGTGATAAATCTGTCATTAAGGGTGTAAATCACACCGGCGCGTTCCTTCTGTTTTAATCCCAGCAAACCTATTGTTTAAATGACAAACACTGAGAGTACAGTATGAGCTGATCAGAATTCACAGTTTTTGCCAAAGGCAAATTCCTTTGGTATGAAGGTCAAACTAATTCAGCTGCAGGTGTTCCACTGAAGATGGGTAGCTTTCTTCCAGTGCCAAGATTTTGCTACAGCACAAGTAGCTGCTGTTAAAAGAAAGGATCTGTCATCCCACAGGCTGTGGAAAAAAAAATCCTCTTACAGTCCACGAATGAGACACAAACCTTTCAGTTTTATAAAAAAACACATATGTCTATGATGCTCCCTGGGAGTCCTGAAATGAATTTCTAAATGCATTTTTGAAATTCATAATCGGTCAAAGCTGAGATTTAAAGCTCATTTTTCAAGTTTGCAGAAAAGCCTCTGTGACAATACGAAAGCCACAACAAGTTATTGAGAAAAAACAAGCTGAGCCATGGAGAAAAATTCCAAAAGTTAACACGTTCAGTAGAGCAAACACAAATGTGGGTAGAAGTCATAATGGAGGAATATTTGTGGCCTCGGCAGGGCGCCTCCCAGACAGTTTGTTTGTGTTGTTCCCTTCTTAGAGGGGGGACACACAGAGAGGGAAGACTGTAAAGCCATATCTGATGCTGCTCAGTCATCTTAGACTAGAAGCGGGTGGGGTTGGCATCTGTGGGGAACTGTCACGATTCATTTCACACTTATGTGGGATGCCATGCCACAATCCTAGTGTAAAATCAAATTCTCAAAAGCCAAGAAATGTCAAGGCACGAATAGTGAAAGGAAAAAAAACAAAACACTGATTTGTGAGACAGTCAGCTTTACAAATATGTCTCCAGCAAAATCAAATTTTTTGGCCTTTGTGTTTATTTGTACACAGAAGGGCGAGTCAAGCCGGAAGTGCAGTGAACTGTTGTTTACAGGCAGCTTCGACATCTCCCGGTTCCAGATAAGGAGTCCAAAAATTTACTCTTGGTGGATTTAAAGCTGTTAAAACATCTTTCTAAACCTCTTTCTTGTGTGTTTTTTTTCTATCATTAACTTAAATGCCCGTCTGTTGCTTTGTGCTTGCTGACGTACTCACCCAATTATTGTCGCATTGTACATCTGAGTTCGCAGCTGCCAAATATCTCGAGGATAGCTCTATTCAAATATTTGCCTTCAATCTTTTGCCCTTCGTGTCACAGGGCTAGAAGTTTCCGTGTTTGCACACGAACGAAAAACCTTTCATATATGTGTCCATA